GCGCACCACAGCAAGCCCCGGGCATCCAGTGACCTCTCCGACAGCCTGGAGTCCTTCGGCGTCCAGCACGACAGCCTCCAGTCACTCTCCAGCCTGCGTGAGAGCTTCAGGTCCTCCAGCATAAAGGGTGATAGCCTTGAATCCCTGTCCAGCCTGAGCAACGGGTCCACCAGCCAGCACAGTGGCCTCGAGTTTACCAGCCAGTGAGACTGCCTTCACCTCCCCATACAGTGCACTTTCAGCAGGCTACATTGTTCCAGTTGATGTTTGCTGCATCCGGTGCAATAACCTCAAATACTGTCCGTGGCTGCCATTCCCTACTTACGTACTTCAGAGAGGCAGTGCTCATTACTACCTGCAGCGTTAACGCTGATTTTCTTGTCATCGGTTAAGAATGGAGGTACGTGGTCCTCGGAGGAATCCCAGCTACCTCTCTGATCTCTATCAGAACATGTTACAGGCTGAAGCAGCACTGGGACGAGAGCAGCAGCAGCCCCCAGCAGTCCATACAAATAGCAGCGTGACTCTTCAGAGCAGTACTCCAGCCAAGTGGGGCCCCCAGCCAAATAAGCTTCAGAGCAGCACTTCCTCCAGCTGTGACCCGGCGTTACGGCCTATCATACGCCGCCGAACGAGATCTTTGCCTACATCACCTGAAAGAAGGAAGCAGGCAGCAGTGCAGTGTCAAGTTCCTGGATGGCAGAGTCGTATGAACCGGGTGAGATTTGCTGATGCTTTGGGCTTGGAGCTGACTGAAGTGAAAGTCTTCCAGACAGGGGAGGATCCATCGATCCCCTTGCATGTCCTTTCCAGGCTCTCCATAAACTCAGACCTCTGGTACAGCAGCTCGGACTTGGAGTTTACCATGCAGTGCTTGGTCCCTGACTTCCAGCAGCCTGCAGACTGTATGGATTTCTCCTCCCGACTTCAGGAGCAGCAGGTGTGTCTTGAACGAGTCAGCAGCTCAGATTTGGGGCTCAGTGGCAGCATCCAGGTTTGCAATGTTGCTTTTGAGAAGCAGGTATCTGTGCGATACACGTTCAACCAGTGGAAAAGCCTCCATGAAGTGTGTGCTCATTGGCACAGTAGCATCCCTGAGAAAAACGGGCAGGATCAGGTTGATGTTTTCACGTTCTTTCTCCCTGTGCCTCCTTTCCTCCTTCAGCTGTGCTCTGTCGTCCAGTTTGCAGCAAGGTACCAAGTCAATGGCCGGGAGTATTGGGATAACAACAGAGGCAAAAACTACAGTCTCACCTGCCGGACTCACCCCCTTAAGATGCCTAGAGAATGTGAGGAGAGCTGGATCCACTTCATCTGAATGAAGAAAGTGGATGCAGAGCAGTTTGTCAGCAGTCTCGGTGGCACTCTCTTCCTTGGCACGGCTCTCTGCTCCTATGGCAACGGTCTCCTTTTTGAAACTTGCCAAACCTGGCGAAGTGTTCCAGGGCAGGGAAGTAGCCAATGACCCGTACAAACTGTTCTAAAGCTCTTGGAAAGAAAAAAGGGCTGAAATGTGTATTGAGTTACATCCATTGGAAGCCCGAGTGATTTGTAGTGTATGAACCAGTGCAGAATGGTTCCAAGGGATGCTGTCAGACTACCAGAGCGCAAAACAAGACACTTCATTTTGCTAGTAATATTCTAGGTTGCATAGAATATTTCTAACTGATCTATTTTACCATTTAGTACTGTCTGTTTTCTAAATGGGCAGTGTGGCTTTACTGGTTTTGTTTCTAATTATCTCAGCGAGTCTGGGCACTATTCCATTTATGCATAATTTGGATGGCAGACACTGTAGGGAAGTACTTGTATTTATATATATATATTATTAAGACTGTAACCATGTTGAATATTTCCATTAATATTTGGGTTGGAAATTAAATGTTATTATAAGCAAAACTTACATGAAAATGTCCCATCAGCCCCTCTGTTTCCCTTTTAAAAAAAAAAAAAAAAGGTGCCTTTCTAGCTGGGGGCTTATTGGTTTCACTGATTAAAATCCTAAAAGTTCTCAACAGATGAACGATGTTGGGAAGTTCTCATCTTTTTCAGGTGAGGCACAAGTAGGCTTTTTCTCTAGGTGGTGGCACAGGAACTGTCCTTTCCTTGTGCACCGGTTTTTACTAAGGGAAACTAGAGCAATTTTGCACTTGTATTCCAATTACAGTTGAAGATCTCAAAGCACTATATGAATGGTAATGATCTTACACTGTTACCGAAACAGGTAAATTTATAAATCAAGAAACAGCTATGAGAGATATATATAGATAAATATATAGATAAGAAAAACACACATAAAAAAGACAATACAGGGAGCTGGTTACAGAGCCTTGGAGGAATACACTAGAATCCTGAATCCTGGCTGTGTGTTCCCCAGCGTCCCAGTACTACCGCAGCAGCACCTTTGAATTCTTTAATCGACTACGTCTCATTATAAACCAGCTGAACTCCAAGACTGCATCCTTTGCAACACAAAGCGGGAACTTCAAAGCAAAATGATGATTTTACTGGTAAATTGATACTTCCATGGACCCATAAACAGAATCACTTCTGCAGCAGGGAGAGCACAGTAACGCTGTTCCATGCAGTCTTCCCATGCTTCTTGCTCTGCCACTTTCATTCTGTGGTTTTGGTGTGGTTTAAGATTGGCGACAGGCTCAAATCTAGTAAGTAAAAGATTGTCCATGATTTTTTTCATACGTATTCATCACTGTATGCAAAGTTTAGCTTTATACATGTAGCATAAATTCTCAAAACTAACTAGCTGGCTGTATTGGAAGGATTTTTAGAAGGATTTTAGAATTTGCTTCTAGATCCTGCTTTTTAGAAGGATTATACTATGAAAATCAGGCCACTTATTCAGGCATCTTATTTTGGATTGCTGCTTATTCATCAAAATCACAAGTTGTTTTTAAAAATGCACAGTTGTAAGCAACCCACAGCCAAGTATATATTAGTCCAAAAAGTCCACTGAGTAATTCTGGAAGTGCAGAAACCCCAAGAAGATTCATGTGTCTGGCAACTTAATGTTGCTACTTAGTTGTGATACCCATTTAGCAAAGCTAGGATTTCAAGTGAAGAAGCTGCCTGGTGCCCCTAGTCTTTGGCTTTCAAAGGAAAGGTCATTCAAAGTCATGAATGACGATTCTATGAGCTGCTGAGCACCTCTTGCAGAGTACTGAGAAAACTCAATCGCATTTGAAACGGTTGAGAATGGACTGTGTTGTC